TATATTTGTTTGCTTGAAATAATTATTAAAATTACATATTTAAATATCCCAAACAAATAAAAGTCATGGTAAAATTATTTCCGTTCTAATATATATTTGCAAATTTTCTGATGCACAATAACATTTTCGACGCTTTTGTGGGGTGCGCCCAAGACGTGCGGCAGCCGCAGCCTTTGGCGTGAGTTTCAGCCTCTGATTCGGCTGTCGAAATGGAATAATAATAATGTGCGTTTAAATAGAACATCTGTTCGGTCCGCACTCGGCTAAATGGAGCATGACAAAACAGAAAACACACACAGAGCCCACAGCCAGGCAGCCAGGCAGCCAGATAGAGGATGGCGACAATTGTGGGTTGACGCAGGCGCATTGCTGAGCAGCGAAAGGGGTAAAGGGACATAGCCAGGGGCTCGAGCGAATCCAAATCGAATGAATGAATACGCAGCGCAACAAAAGAATAACAATTTGACAACATTCTAATTCGCCACGCAGATAAAAGTAACTGCGCAGGCAGTGGGAGTTGTCTAGGGGGCGGGGTTCAGCCGGAAAAAAAGAGCAGAAAATGGAGGACGATTTTTGATAATACGGCTTTGATTCAGTCAGTGAGCCAGTGAGCCGGCAAACGCAAAGCCAAATAAACATAAACAAAAAACCCACGCACATCCGTCAGATACGGATACAGATACAGATACAGCTACAGATACAAAGATACTTTTGCAGCCACGCAGTTTAATCGCAGTCGCCGCGCAAGTGAGGGAAGCTATGGGCTGTGTTCTCTTTGTACTTGGAGGCCTTCTGGCATCGCAGAGTGTCAAGTGTTTTTATTGCATTGCGCCTTTGTTGTTGTTGCTCGCTTCCAGCTTGCCTGCGTTTTAAGTGCTGCACAGGCACAGGGCAACACTTAGCGAAGGCAATCGGCAGCGGAACTGCTCGAAATTAAACAGAAGCGCAAAACACTAGCCGAACTGCTAGAAAGAGGGCTACGAGGTTGATGAAAATGTCAAAATTGATATATTTACCATTTACAAATATGTTAAAATTCTAAAAGGCTTCAAAATTCATAAAAAATTTTTTAAGCATATATAAAATACATTATTATTTA